GTCTGAGGGACAGTGAACTGGCCCCGTTTAAAAAGTTTGAGGACCCCTGGACTAAGGTGTGCCTGACTCAAGCCATGGTATTCTCCCTTGCATCATATGCATGTGAAAGTTAAGACACTGAATAAGGAACACCATAGAAGAATCAATACATCTGACTTGTAGTGCTGGGAAAGAATATTGAAAGTACTCTGGATTGCTGAAAGGACAAACCGATCTGCATTAAAAGTGAGCGTGCTCCTTAGAGGCATGGATGGCAAGATTTCGCCTTACGTACTTTGGACATATTGTAAGGAGACTTCGTGTTTGGTGAAGTGGAAGGGCTGGGAAAAGGAGGCCCTCAACGAGACGGAATGACACAATGGTCTCAGGCATAGGCACAGGTGTGAGGATGGCACAGGACTGGGCAACGTCTCCTTATATGGTGCATACGGTCACTAGGAGTCAGAGCTGACTCAATGGCACTTAACAACAGTAACAACAGTTATGTTGGGGAGGCTGGGGAGAAATCAGGCGCTAATACTAATGAGTACAAGAAAAAAGAAAATGTTCTAAAATTGATTGCAGTGATGATTCCAAAACTCTTTTAAATAGAATTAAACCACTGACTTGCATGATGGATGAGTTATATGCCAATAAACCTTGTAAGAAAGAAACACTCCTGAAAATAAAATTAAAAGTTCTATGATTTTGTAGCAATAAAAACCAAAAAATACATATATATCTATGGCAGAAATATACAAAAGGCTATTATTACCTGATTATTAAAGCTGATACAGAGCTTGGAAAACCGAATGGGATGTGGACAATCAGCCTTCAGATAAATATGGAACTGAACGGGAACATCCACATGAAAACTTGGGGCATGAAACTTGGCTTTGCATTGTACTAGAAATAAAACAAAAATGTCTAAGTTACTACTAGACACCTTAAATGCATGTCCATTATTCTCTGAACCACATTTACTCTTTATTTACTTTGTTTTTCCAAAACCATTTTGTTGGAAGCTAATACAGATACCTTTAGAAAGAACTTATCTACATTAGTCATTCTTAATGGCTTCGGCATTTGAATTTCAAGAAATGTAAATGTAGCTCGCTTTATTAATTTATAATGAAAGGGATAGAAGCCAATGTACATATATTTATATGTTAAGCATTAAGATAGCACACAGACTTTGTGCCTCTACTCAAGGCCCCCCTTAACACAAGAACACTTTGTTCTGATAAACTGGCACTCTTTGATACCTTCCCGACACAATGGGTGCAAAAGCAAATGTGGTGTAGAGAACGGATGGTGCCCGGCTATATTAAAAGATGTAGCATCTGGTGTCTTAAAGGCTTGAAGTTAAACAAGCAGCCATCTATCAGGGAAGCAAATAAGCCCACATGGAAGAAGCATACCAGCCTGTGTAATCATGAAGTATCAATGGGATCAAGTATCAAAAGATCCAAAACAAAAAACTACATTGATGCAAACGAGGGGTGTTGGAGTGGAGACCCAAAGCCCATCTGTAGACAACTGGATATCCCCCCCACAGAAGGGTTATAAGAAAGGGATAATTCAACCAAAGTGCAGTATAGCACGGATGAACCACACGTCATTCTTCTAATTCCTGAATGCTTCCTTCCCCCAACTACCATGACCCAGTTCTACCTTACAAATCCAGCTAGACTGGAGAACACACATTGCTACAGATAAGAGCTCTGGACACATGGAAATCAGGGCAGATAAACCCTTCAGGAACAGTAGTGGGAGTAGTGATATCATAAGGGAAGTGGAACGGTCGGGAAGAGGGAAGGGGGGAGAAAGGGGGACCCATCACAAGTTTGGATATATAGCCCCACCACCTGAAGGAGGACAATTAACAGAAATGTGGGTGAAGGGAGACAACGGACAGTGTAAGAAATGAAATAATAATATATAACTGGTCAAGGATTCACAAGGATGGGAGGGTGGGGGAGAGAGGGAAAAAAGAGGAGCTTAGT